CCGCACCGCGCTGTCATCACTGCACTCCGCTGCGTTTCCATCACAATGACAGTTTATGACTGTTCAGTAAACCATTCGGCCCGCGATTTAGGCTGGATTTTAGATTTTGGCCCCTTCTCTGATTGAGTTCGACACCCCTAGTGTAGATGATACACACAGTTGGGCAAAAGTAGGTTTACAGTTACTAGTGTGCAAAATAAATCATATAATAATTAATAAAAAATGAAAGATTCAATTTTGTGTTTTGAGTACTTATAACTGTAAACATACTGTTGCCCATGTATGTGAGTGAGTGTGTGTGTGTGTGTGTGTGTGCGTGTGTGTTTTCTGCCCTGAGAATAAGAAGACATCTTGCCATTTACAGATGGAACTTGAGGGCACTTGCAAAGTATACATTAGTCTTAATGAAGAAAATAAACACTATATGATGTCTTTTGTGTGTGTGTGTGTGTGTGTGTGTGTGTGTGTGTGTGTATGTATATTTTTAAAATCAAACTCATAGAAATGGAGAGTAGAATGGTGGTTATCAAACCCTGGTGGATGGGAGGAATTGGGAGATGTTGGTCAAACAGTAAAAACTTCCAGTTAGAGATGAAGTTTTTTCCTCAATTCTGGGGATTGAATGCACAGCTACAGTGGTTATAGCTAACAACCATGTATTATGTACTTGAAAGTTGCTAAGAGAGTAGATCTTTAATGTTCTCAATACAGAAAAGATATAGTAATTGTGGCACCTAATGCAGGTGTTAACAAACAGTATGATAGTGGTTGTTTTTAAAATACAATATATAAATGTATCAAATCAGGGAGAAACCAAGATGGCGGCCTAGGTAAGCTCCTAAGCTGCCACCTCGCACAACAATTTCAAAACAACAACTAAAAGACAGAATGGACATCATCCAAAAACACAGGAAAGCTGCAGGAGTGGGAAGTCTAAAACTAGAAAGAAGGAGAGGCTCATGGATCGAATTGGGAGTCGCTGAGCACTGAGGTAGGGAGACGCTAGTGAGCAGAAGGGCAGCCAAATGCCTGGCTGGCAGGAGGGGAAAGGAAGTCCCCGATTGCACTGAACTCTTTCTGACTGTACTGAACCCCAACCCCGGCCGAAACTCCGTGGACCCAGGCTCATATGGAGTCTGGACTGTAGAGAAAGGCACCCAGGAACTCAGAGACTGGGAGACCTGGGGATTCGGGAGCCACAGCAGGCAGGGTCTAGTCACGTGTGCTAGTGAGTGAGCACAGATTGGTCTGACCTCAAAGGTTGCTGTGGCCCCTCCATGGTGGAAGGAGTCAGAAGCTCCAGACTTCAGAGACCCAAGCCAATTCCGGGAGAGCCCCTTGGGCACCCATGCTCTTGCATGGAATCTGAATGGTCAGGCAGAAACTCAGGCAGCACACAAGGGCAGGGCTGATAGGAAGCCAAGAATGTCAGCTCAGCCCTGAGACTCCACACCATCCAAGCTGAGCACAGAGGCTTTTACAATTTTTCAAATTTGATCCTATAAGACTGACTCCAATACAGAAGATATCCCAGAATAGACATAGCTGATCTAATGTGCCTGGAGGTCAATTCCTCCCAGTGATACCAACAACAATCCAGTCTAATGGGCCTGGAGGTCTAATGCAAGTCTAACGCAAGGCTATTCATGCAGTCCACAAAGGGGAGCACAAAGAGTGCCTACCTCAGGTAATTGGGGAGGCTGACCCACTGGCCCATATAAGACACCAAGCACACAAAGTGACCCTACCAACTCTGGTAAGCAGTAAAAATGCCAAGAAATGAAAATAGATCTCAAATGAAAGAGATGGAGGAGAACAAAAGACTGGATATAGAGTTCAAAACCAGATATAAGGCTTTTCAAGAATTTCTTAGAAAGGCTGATAAATTTAATGAGACCCAACTAGAAATTAAACAAACTGACTTAAATCATATATATATATATACAGAGATCTAACAGCAGACAGGAGGACCACATGAATCAAGTCAAAGATTTGGAATACAAAGAGCCAAAGGACACTCCTCTGGAGAAGCAAGAAGAAAAGAGAATCCAGAAAGTTGAAGATAGTGTAAGGAGCCTCTGGGACAATTTCTAGCATACCAACATCAGAATTATGGGGGTACCAGAAGAAAAAGTGCAAGATACTGAAAACCTATTTGAAGAAATAATGTCAGAAAACTTTCCCCACCTGGTGAACAAAATAGACTTAAAGGACAGGAAGTGCACAGAACTCCAAACAAGAGGAATCCAAGAGGACCACACCAAGACACATCATAATTAAAATGCCAAGGACAAAAGACAAATAGAGGATCTCACAAGCAGCAAGAGAAAAGCTGTTAATTACCAGTAAGAGAGCACCAATATGATTGTCAGCTGATTTTCCAACAGAAACTATGCAGGCCATAGGGCGGGGCTGACAGAAGCCAAAGCTGCAGGCTCCACCCTGAAACCCCGCCCCATCTGTAACTGTGAAATGAGACAACAAAATAGATCACAAACAAAAGAAATGGAGGACAAAAAGCGTCTGGATATAGAGTTCAAATCTACGCTTATAAGGTCTTTCAAGAATTTCCTAGAAAAGATGGATAAGGCCTATGAGGATATGAAAAGAGATCAACTAGAATTAATAAGGAGTCAACAAGAAATGATAAGGGATCAACAAGAAATAAAGAATACATTGTCTGAAATAAAAAATATTTTACAGAGTCCTAAAAACAGGAGGGATGATCGCAAGAATCAAGTCAAAGATTTGGAACATAAAGAGCCAGAAGACACTCCTCCACAGAAGCTAGAAGGCAAGAGAATCCAGAAAATTGAAGATAATGTAAGAAACCTCTGGGACAACTTCAAGCGAACCAACATCAGAATTATGGGGGTCCCAGAAGATGAGAGAGAGCAAGATATCGAAAACATACTGAAAGAAATAGTGACAGAAAACTTCCCCCACCTGGTAAAAGAATTAGACTTACAAGTCCAGGAAGCGTACAGAACTCCAAACAAAAGGAATCCAAAGAGGACCACACCAAGACACATCATTATTAAAATTCCAAGAGCAAAAGACAAAGAGAGAATATTAAAAGAAGCAAGAGCAAAGAAGGTAGTAACCTATAAAGGAGCACCTATACGATTGTCAGCTGACTTCTCAACAGAAACCATGCAGGCCAGAAGGGAATGGCAAGAAATATTCAAAGTGATGAATAGCAAGAACCTACAGCCAAAAATAACCTACCCAGCAAAGCTATCACTCAGAATCGAAGGCCAGATAAAGAGCTTCACTAATAAAAAAAAGCTAAAGGAGTTCATCACCGCCAAACCAGAATTATATGAATTGCTGAAGGGAGTTCTTTCAGAAGAGAAAGTAAACAAAGATCAAAATTATGAACAACAAATACGTAACTATCAACAAGTGAATCTAAAAACCAAGGAAATTAAAAAGATCTGATGAACAATATTAACTGTTGAATATAATAGAATCAGAGGTATGGAAGGGGAGTGAACTGATGATTCTTGGGGAAAAGGGGAGAGGGGGGAGTGGGAAGAGACTGAACATAAACTGTGCACCTATGGATGAGGACAATGGGGAGAGGGGAAAGGGCAGAGGGTGGGGTGGGAACCTGGTGGAGGAGAGCAATGGTGGGGGGGGGGAAGAACATTTGTAATAATATGAACAATAAAAACTTATTAAAAAAAAAAAAAAGAAACTATGCAGGCCAGACAGGAGTGGGAAGAAATATTCAAAGTGATGAATAGCAAGAACCTACAACCAAGATTACTGTATCCAGCAAAGTTATCATTAAGAATTGAAGGGCAGATAAAGAGCTTTGCAGATAAGGAAAAGCTAAAGGAGTTCATCACCACCAAACCAGTATTATATGAAATGCTGAAAGGTATTCTTTAAGAAGAGGAAGAAGAAGAAAAAATATAAAAATTATGATCAACAAATACATATATATCAAAAAGTGAATCTAAAAGTCAAGTTAATTAAAAATCTGAGGAACAGAATAAACTAGTGAATATAATAGAATCAGGGGCAAAGAAAGGGAGTGGAATGATAATTATCAGGGAGGAAGGGAAATGGGGGGTGCAGGAAGATACTGGACTAAAATCGTACACCTATGGATGAGGACATTGGTGGGGGGTAGAGGGGAGTTAAGGGCAGAAGGTGGGTTGGGAACCGGGTGGAAGGGAAAACGAGAAACAATTGTAATAATCTGAGCAATAAACATTTATTTAAAAAAATAGAAATAAATGTATCAAATCAACACATTATATACTTCAAACTTATACAATGGCACCTCATCAACTATATTGATAAAGCTGATGGGGGAAAAAGTAGGTGGAGTTGGGTTCTTCACTAGAGATAAGGAGCTGGCAAGAATGGGTGAAAATCAGACCCCAGGCGATTAGCTTCAGGTTAAATGAAACCCCTCACTATATGGGCAAAGTCAACTCCAGGAGTGTGTATGAGTTAGGTAAGGTTTGGTCATTAACAGGTAGTCTCCCTCCCTCCATGCAGGAACTGGCAATTTTCCTCACCTTTTCATGACTTTATGGTAGGAGACACCTACAAAGATGGCCAGAATAAACCCTGAGGGAAAGTTTTCACACTCTCCCTGCTGGTCCATTTTCAATAATTGGAAAAACCTTCCTTTCCTTTGAAAAAGATGATATTTTTCATGTGATTCCTTGCCCAAAGACCACCTTGGTGGCACTGTTTTAAGGAAAAGGGGTCTCAGTTTATAGGTAAAGACCTAAAGCAAACGGAATTAAGATTAGGGATCAAGGCTAGAAGTTAAAACAGGGCTCAGAAACCTAAAATGCTCTTCTCTGAGGTTATAGCCCCTGTGTGAGACAAGCTGTTGTGTCATAGGGGCCTTCAGAGGACATCACCACAGCATCAAGCAGGGCTTCACAGTGGGAACTTCCCAACCCAATGCTTCACTAGTGAATGTTACTGTCTCTTTAATGTGCCCCCCCTGGGCCCCACCCCCTGAGGCTTCCTGCCTCTGAGGTCTGAGAGGCAAGGCACTTCCCTGTGTGCTGGGAGGAAGAGCCTGCTGAACTCACAACCAGAGGACAGCAGGAGATCAGGGGCTTCCGGGGCCAGCTTCAGAGCTTGTCACCAATTCTGCAGGAAAAGTGAGCTTCAGCAGGGGAAGGAAGTGGTCCACAGAGTAGGAGCTGTGAGGACCTGGAAGAATTCAGTGCCTGTAAAAAGCTCGCTGAGTGAGTACCTTGGTTCTAGTAAGTACCACGAAGGGGAGCCGGACCTAGAAATAGTAACTCCACACTCCCAGGTGTGTAAGGATGTTTGAGTTTCACACTCAGCAGCTTCAGGAGCATCAGCAAGTATCTCCTCCAGCCTGGATGCCCAAGTTCTTACTGGGGACTGTGCATTGTACACAGAGACTCAGCAAGCACAGAAGGTTCCATTGTGTTAAACCATGATTGATTGGCTAGAGCCACTTTACTTGGAGAAACCTTGGCTTTGGGGGGCAGGATGTCAGGAGTTGGAGGGGAGTGTCCCAGTCTCTCCAGGACACTGATCATATTTACACACATGAGACAGGACAGTGAGCTGACTTCCCAAGAGCATTGTCAGAGGCTCCAGATCACCTGAGACATATGTTTCTTTTCCAATTTTCAAAACAAAAATTCCAGTTCTACTCTTGTACATCTCCCAGGCCATCTACGGTAACTGGATCCTTAGTTCACTGAGAAAATTTTCGAGTTTTCATAAGCTTCCCCTGTCTTCTAAATCTCCTGAAAAATTCTAGTATCTACAGATTTTATCACGGACATAGAATTTACAAAGAAAATAAAAACTAAAGCTTTCTTACTGACATGAGTGTTAAATCTCCACTCTGCCTCTTGGATTTAATGTCCCTGAAAAAAACAAAATCAAGCTCATGAAATGCTCTCACAATATTATTCCCATCACTTCCCAACCCTTCCAGTGTTTTCCCTTCAATTCTGATGTTCAGGGTAAGTAAGAAAGATGACTTTGTCACTGTGGTGTCACCAGCTCTTTGAAGTTGAGCTGACACATCATAGGTATTTATACCTATTTGAAGGATGAATTAACAGTGTTTGTGACTTTTTCAGGTAAGCATGGGAGGACGGAAGATTGCAAGAGATGAAGAAAGTGTCTATGGTAAGGACATGTGCACTGCATACTTACCTCCAGTTATGAGCCCTGGATAATGATAAAAATGGGAAAACTCAGAACTGAGCATATAACCACAAACAGGTCTCTGAGGTGTCTCAGTTAAAACAGCAAGAGCTCTGAGATGTGCATTTTAGTTGGGTCCTTGCCTCTGTCAAGCTGGAAGAATATGAACTTCCCTGACTAGCCTGAGCCTGCATTCCCCAAGAGTAAAATGAGGATAATAAACCTACTCTGACCTGCACAGAAGATGATGTACATGGTATCAGGTCATGCACTAGAGGGATACACCAGGTAGAATGTTAGAGAACATGGAGGGTTAAACAGGTGTCTTATTAGCAGGCACCTTATTATGAGGGAGGGGAAGGGATATGAGGAGGGAGGGGAAGGAGGAAGTGGGATGGAGGGAGAGAAGGAAGAAAGAAAAGGGGAATATCATTCAATCCTCTCAACAGCCACGGGAGAAACAACTTTTACCATTATCCCTATTTTTGTATCAAGTTTTAACACCTGATTGGCAATTTCCAAGATGGCATAGCTGGCCAATGAAAGGGCAGTGAATCAAATCCAGGGTGTCTGGGACTCTAGACAGCCCTTCATGCCCAGGCCTACTGCCCCCTCATGCCCATCTTCTATGGGCAGGCTGGAATCTTGGAGAAGTATGGCAGAGGCCACTGAAGCCTCAAATAGGGCCAGCTCACAGGTTGTGGGGGAGCAGGGATAATGGGTGAGGCCATACCTGGAATTAGAAAGGGGCATCCTCTGGAGCAAAGTTGGAGAACATCTTGTCCTCAGGCTGTTTAAGGCCCGCTAAATCATTTGCTCTGGCCCTGCCAGGGCAACAGCAGTCAGTTCTCAAAATTCAATAAATCTAGGAGCTTTTTTCATAGCAACATACATTTATATTAAGTGAATTATATTAACTGAATGAGGTTATAAATATCCAAATAGTCCTTGGAAGAGAAAAGATTCCCCACCCCTGCCTACCAGGTGTTGACCATCAACAGATGCATGTGGTAAAACCAGGAAAAGGTGGTGAAGAGCCCCTGGAGTTCAGAAAGCTCTGAACAATGACCTCAGTAAGGCTTTGATTGGAAAGCAGAGTTGAGGTACTGCTGTTCTTGTTCAAAGGCCTCCAGGGGTCTGGGTAACCAGGATTTGTTGCTTTAAGGCTTGGAAGCTCACAGATCACTTGTCCTCTAGGCTCTGAAGACAGCATGAAGGCCCCGCTGAGGCTCATCCTCGTGGGGAAGACAGGGGCTGGAAAGAGCGCCACGGGGAACAGCATCCTGGGCCACAAGCGCTTTGTCTCCAGACTCGCAGCCACCTCGGTGACCAGAACCTGCGAGGTGTGGAGCCGCAGATGGGATAGAAGGCACGTAGAAGTCATGGACACCCCGGATCTTTTTAGTTCCCTGGTCTCTAAGACAGACCCAGGGTGCCAGGAGCGAGCCCGCTGCTACCTGCTGTCTGCGCCTGGGCCCCATGCGCTGCTCCTGGTAACTCAGCTGGGCCGCTTCACTGCACAGGATCAGCAGGCTGTGAGAGCGCTCAAGGTCCTGTTTGGAGACAACGTGGTGAAGCGCACCATCGTGCTGTTCACGCGCAAGGAGGACCTGGGTGGGGACTCTCTGCAAGAGTATGTGCAACACACTGACAACCATGCGCTGAGGGCTCTGGTGTCTGATTGTGGGGGTCGAGTGTGTGCCTTTGACAACAAGGCAATGGGAAGGGAGCAGGAGGCCCAGGTTCAGGAGCTGCTGCTGCTGGTGGAGCGCTTGGTGGGGGACCACGCAGGTGCCCCCTACTCCAACGACGTGTACCGCCTGGTGCAGGAACTTGCTTCCTTAAGGCCTGAGGAACAGCTACGAAGGGTGGCAGAGAGGCTGGTGGGCAGAACAAGGGGGCAAGGAAGGTGGAAGCTGTGGAACTGGGTGATGGCTTGGAAGCTGCGCATATCTGCGCTGCTGGGTGTCCTGTTCAAGCCTTGGAGACTGTTCTCCAGAGGCTGGTTCCAGGCTGTGGAGGAGGTCCGCACTGAGTGACAGAGTGTATCTAAGTAGGATTTAGACCCATCACCTGACAATCACATCCTTCTGTGGTGTCTGTGCCTCAGAGGCCCACAGGCTTTCCTTGTGTCCCTCACCTGGCAGTAACCTGCCAACCCAAAGACAAAAGTCCTGCCCAGTCCCATCCTCTTCCCTCCTCCCCCCCCCAAAAAAACCCTGAGACCTTCTTTTCTCTTACTGAAACCCAACAACTGTTGTTGCTCTTGCCTGTTCTCCACTGACCTCAGGCAGGATGGTCCTGGAATCATCCCTGGTCTCCCCGGGGGATCAAGAGCCAGAGCCAACACAAAGCCTCAGTCCAGACCCATTTATTTCAATTGAAGCTGAATTATATACATGAATAAATTCCTTGGTGGTTTGACTCAATGGATAGAGCGTCCACCTGTAGACTGAAGGTCCCAGGTTAGATTTTGGTCAAGGGCACATGCCTGGGATGCAGGTTCATCCCCAGTACAGGCCTTGCAGGAGCAGCCGATCAAAGATTCTCTCTCATCATTGATATTTCTATCTCTCTCTCCCTCTCCCTTCCTCACTGAAATCAATAAAAATACATATTTTTTAAAATGTCTTGAACATTTACATTATGTTAATAGAATCAATATTGCAGATATTTGTTCATATGCCATATATCCATTACACAAAGATACTGCTCTGTCATTCCTAACCACTGTGCAAAAACCATGCACCCAAGTGCAGACACACACACACACACACACACACACACACACACACACACACACACATATATTGGAGTATGTGCTCATAAGAATACAAAGCACTGAAGAATGGCCCATTTTTTCCAGAAAGGCATGTCTTCTTCCCTGCATCTTTATTCAGACTCTTCAGCAACTTGAATGCAGACTCTTCTACAAACCCAAGGATAATTTAACTAGACTTAACTAAAGAGTCAAGTTCCTAGGAGCCATTGAGGCCTGCAGAAAGTATACTTCCAAAAAGGAGTTTTCTCACTGGCTGACACACTGATAGGGTGAGCATAGGCTTTTCTTTAAGAAATTGAGAGGTTTGGATATTTTTATTTCAAACCCAAAATAAAGGGCAAGCAGGTCTTTGTGGGCTGAGAACTGGTGATATGAGGTGGGATAAAGAGTCATCCCTCTATTCCATGCAGATCTATAGGATACAGCTCTCTAGTACAGTTAAATGAGCCAGGTTTGCATGGCTCACCTGTTCATGCACATGTGCTCTGCCCTCGGTATCTCTACAATAACAAACAAACTCAGGCTCACCTCAAAAACTGCTGGGTAATTCCAGATCTCCTCCCTACAGTGTCCTCTGTCTTGTGTCTTTACAAAGTCTCCAAAGTCCCTGGTGCCTTCACATCACTAAAGAGACACGTAAAAGGGGGACATAATAATCTGCAACAGCTGAGTGCATATTGGAGCATAAGACTCACAGCCCTGCCTCGAAACCATTAGGAACACAAAGGGAAAAACCAGTGCCAAATGCTGAGACTGGACATTTCCTCTGCTGCCAAGGTCATTGTGGTTTAATGGTTGTGCATTTATCCCAGCAGAGGCACTGATAGGTAATCTGGATTTTGGTCTTGCCCACTTTTCAATATTCTTTTGCAAGGAACAAACAGGAAAACTCTACCATTATCACTTGCTAAGAAAGGCAAGGGTCGCTAGTGAAAATAAAGGGAGGAAAAAAATGAATAGCAATGTTCATTGTAAGCAAAGAAACATTAGAATATTGCTCTTTGGTTTGGGAGAAATGAAGCCCAGAGAGTTCCCAAGGGACAGTGATTGAGCTGTGAAATGTATGAAGAAGCATGGGTGTTAGAGGCAGGCACAGCTCAATAAGGCTGCAATCAGGACACTGTAAGTAAGAGAATGTGTTTGTTGTCTATAACTAATTACAAGACAGATATTGTCAGAGTAAATTAAAACACATGCTTGTTGGGGGCACCAACCTGGCTGAGGGAGTATCTCACAGCTTGACTTCATTGAGCCTACTGCTGTTATTGTATAAAGCATAGTCCCCATTTCTCAGCTAAGAAGAGGAGTATAGGGGAGCACTGCGCTTGGCAAGGCAGTACTGCAAGCAGTGGAGCAGCAGACATGCAGCTCTGTGTTGAGGAGGGACTTCAAGAAACAAACAAAAGAGCCGGGACCGGTTTGGCTCAAAGGATAGAGCGTCGGCTTGGGGACTGAAGGGTCCTGGGTTCGAGTCCGGTCAAGGGCATGTGCCTTGGTTGTGGGCATATCCCCAGTAGGGGGTGTGCAAAAGGCAGCTGATCGATGACTCTCTCTCATCGATGTTTCTGGCTCTCTATCTCTCTTCCTTCCTCTCTGTACAAAATCAATAAAATATATTAAAAAAAACAACAACAAACAAACAAAAGAGAAAAATGGGGGCCAAATAGACATACATATTCTGTGCCTTGTCCCAGAGCAGATAGAAGGAGCAACTAAATAGAATAACATCCACCAGAATTGGAGAATTAGACACAGCTGGAGAGAAAATTCACAGCCAGGAAGGGCAGAGGATGTCTGGAGAATGGGTAGAGAGTAAGCCACATAACCAGACCCCCTGAGATGAGACTCCATCCATGATGGAACAACAACACTCGAGTTGTATGTACTACACCAGTGATCAGCAAACTCTTTAGTCAACTGAGCCAAATATCAACAGTACAATGATTAAAATTTCTCTTGAGAGCCATATTTTTAAACTTAAACTTCTTATAATGCCACTTCTTCAAAATAGACTTGCCCAGGCCATGGTATTTTGTGGAAGAGCCACACTCAAAGGGCCAAAGAGCCTCATATGGCTCTCAAGCTGTGGTTTGCCCTGTACTACACCAAGAGAATCCAAATATCCAAAGTAGAGAGCATCCTTAGCATATCCTGCACAGAAGATCTGAGAGACTGCACCACTGGGTCCCACAGAACATCTACTCTATAAGAAAAATTCAAAAAATCTTGGTGAAATAGAAGTGTGATCAAGAAACTATCACAAAGAAACAGCAACAATGGGGAGACAAAAAAATAGCCCCCGTACAAAAGAAATGGAGGAATCATCAAAAAAGGAAATAAATAAAATAGAGGCAATCATTTTTCAGAGAACAATTTCAGAGCAATGGATATAAGGACACTGTAAAGAATAGAAGATAAATCCAACAACATGTTTAAGAATCAAGAGAAAATTAAGAAGAAGCAAGAGGAAATGAAGAACACAATGGAAAGTTTCAACAGTAGAGTAGAAGAAGCTAAGGACCACATTAGTGAGTTAGAAGAAAATGTAGAAAAAAACACCCAAGCAAAGCATCAACTGGGAATAAAGAAAAACACTTAAAAAGGCAGAGAAGAGTTTAATGGAGCTTTGTGGCAACACAAAATGAAATAACATTCACATAATAGGGGAGCCAAAAGGGCAAGAAGAGGAGCAAGGATTATAAAATCTATTTGAAGATATAATGAGAGAAAACTTCCTTAACTTGGGGAAGAATAAAGTCACACAAATCCAAGAAGCACAGAGAGCGCAAAACAAGATTAATCCAAGAAGACATATCATAATTAAATTGGCAAACATCAAGGATGAAGTAAGAACCATAAAGGCTTCCAAAGAGAGAAAGTTACCTACAAGGGATCTCCCATTAGACCAGTGATTCTCAACCTTTCTAATGCCGCAACCCTTTAATACAGGTCCTCATGTGGTAACCCCCAACCATAAAATTATTTTCATTACCACTTCATAACTGTAATTTTGCAAATGTTGTTAATCATAATCTAAATATCTGTGTTTTCCGATGGTCTTAGGCAACCCCACTAGCAGTTCTCAACCTGTGGGCTGTGATTCCCACAGGTTAAGAATCACTGCTATAGAGTCTAACTGATTTCTCAACAGGAACATATCATGCGAGAAGGCAATGGGATGAAATATACAAAATGCTGCAAAGCAAAGGACTGCTTCAAGAATACTATACCAGAGAAAACCAAGATGGCAGCCTGGGTAAGCACTTAAACTGCTGCCTCACACAACGATTTCAAAACAAAAACTAAGTCAGAAAAGGCATGATCCAAAACCTCAGGAAAGCTGGCTGAAAGGAAGCGCTAAAACTACAAAGAAGGAGAGAGGCTCATGGATCAGGGGAGCCACAAAGCGCTGAAGTAGGGAGAGGCATGAGTGCAGAGAGGAAAGGCGGCTGAGTGCCTGGCTAGCAGGAGGGGAAAGAAAGCCCCCAACTGCACTGAACTCCAGTTCCAACTGCACTAAATTCCAGCCCCAGCCAAAACCCCGTGGACCCAGGCTCATTGGGGTGAAGTCTGGACTATAGAGAAAGGCACACAAAGACTCAGAGACTTGGAGACTTAGGGTGCCAGGAGCCGCAGCAGGCAGGGTCTAGAGGTATGCACGAATGAGTGCACACAGAGAAGTCTGACTGTGGAGGTTGTTGCAGCCTCTCCATAGCGGAAGGAATTGGAAGCTCCTGACTGCACTGAATTCCAGTTCCAACTGCACTGGGATTAAAAGTATTATTCAGAGACCCAACCCAGTTCCAGGCAAGCCCCTGGGGCACCCATGCTCTTGCATGGGGAATTGGGACTGTCAGGCAGAAACTCGGGGGATCTGTGGAAGGCAAAGGTCTGAGGCACATGCACAAGGGCAAGGCTGACTGGAAGCCAAGACTGGTAGCTAAGCCCTGAGACTCTGCCCCATCCAAGCTGAGCACAGAAGCTTTTGCAATTTTGCAAGTCTGATCCTATAAGACTGTCTCCAATACAGAAGGTATCCCCGAGTAGACATAGCTGAAACTCACATCCAATTGGCCTGGAGGTCAATTCCTCCCAGTGATACCAACAACAATCAACACTTAACTACAATAAGGCTGTACACACAGTCCACAAAACGGAGCACACTTGAAGTTGTAGATAGTGTAAGTTGAAGATAGTGTAAGGAGCCTCTGGGACAACTTCAAGTGTACCACAAAGAGTGTCAGGTAACTGGGGAGGCTGACCCACTGACCCATATAGGACACCAAGCATACAGAGCCGCCCTACCAACTCAGGAAAGTGGCAAAAATATGGAGACAAGGAAACAGATCTCAAACGAAAGAAATGGAGAACAAAAGACTGGATATAGAGTTCAAAACCACGGTAATAAGGTTTTTCAAGAATTTCTAGAAAAGG